TCTGGACCTAGAGAAAGCTGTTCTCGTCACCCTTTCGACTCAGACTCCTGATGTGCCCAGTGGGAATGTGTTTTGCACCAAGACCAAATATCTGTTCACATGGGCACCGGGCAATCAAACACGGTTTCTTATGACTTGCACGATTGAATGGTCGGGCAAGAGTTGGTTGAAAGGTAATATCCGTTTCGCTTCTTGATAAACGTGGACTAACGTTAAGAACATATAGGTCCTATTGAAAAGGGTGCCATTGATGGCCAGAACACATTCGGCAACGACCTTGTCGCCGCCCTCAAAGCCGCTGTCGCTCCCCGTGCTCGTGGCGCTGGCGCTACCAAAGCAGGTGGTAAAGGAAATGCTAAACGCAGAAAGACCGATTCGGGCGCTGAAGAGACAGCCGCTGCGGCTTCTAAAGGAACTCAGGATGCGAATGCGACGGAGGCCAAGTCCTGGGGGATGCTGGAGCCGGTACATGGGCTGCTCGGGCCTGTTGTGGATATCCTCAAACCGGCGTGGAATGGCAATGTTGCTATTCTGGTCATTGGCCTTTTGCTTTTCATGGTCTTGTTCCGAAGCCCTTCTCAAACCTCACGGGTGTCGCATGACATAGGATGTCCCGGTTATTCCTTGCCTCAACGGCTGGCTGCCTATGAAGAGATGTGGCGAAGGGAGGAGAGTGAACTCTGGGGCTGGCTGGAGGATCGTGTTGGCATGGACGGGATGGCCTTCCCGGCAGTTAGCCGATCCACCGAGTCCCAGATGCGCCAGGGTTCCCAGCTGCAGGACAAACTGCGCAATGAGAAGATGTCTGACCGCGAGATGAACCATGCTATCAGGACTACTCGCGAGCGGCTCGACGTCCTCGAAGAGATTTTGAGCAGACGAAACTCGCAAGAGACTACCAACGATGAGGCGCTACACCGAGAACTGTGAATACGCCATGGAATGGATTGCAACTGTTTCTGCTTTCACGCGCCTATCGAATCCCACGTCCGTCTCCTTGGTTGACGATCAGCTGAGACTTGACGTGTCACTCACTGGAATTCATTTCCCTCTCAATCTTCGTACCTTCATGACTTTGTTCAGTGGGTTGATCGTTCTTCAAAACAACTTACCTTCCATCTTCATTTCTACATCTATGTTTGACAGCGATTGGCTATTGGTTGAGGTTCAGCTTTCCTTTTTTCCCAGTCATTGTCTCCTTTTCTCATATCTTTGTACAATGTTTTTGAAAACCTCGATGAGTTTTCTTTGGCTTTTGAATATCCTGTAAATGAGCGCCAACTGCATGTCTATATCACCTCTCGCTTTTCTTTGCTCTTGTTTTCGGACCCTGCCTTGGATTGTATAGGACAATTTCTACTTCACCCCGTGCATAGAATACAAAACTTCTTTTGTCAATGTACAATTTGAGGCTAGGCTTTGTCACTACAGCTGGTAGATCCGTAAAATGAGATCATGCTACATTGAAGCAATCGAATCAAGCTTTGGAAACAAATGCTCTAAACGGCCCTGAATCTCGACAACAAAATTGCTAGCAAGCCAGTCAAGCAGACAAAACAATGTAGCAACACATTCAGCACATTCAACACATTCAACACAAAAAAAGACTTGAAAATTGAACCAACTCCAAGATGCCATAAATCAGAGCCATAATTCTAATGCACAAGTGTAACGTGTAACTAAGAGGTGATTAGATGGGGTGAATAGGTGATCGCAAGGGCGGATATAGTACAAAGTGATGGCGAGCACCGATGACCAGAGCGACCGGGTATATTCGTAGTCTTCGTAAGGGGGGTAGCCGGAACGATGCTGGCAAGGCTATGATGGAACCTTCAACGGACCGTGGTGCGGACTGCTTGTCGAGGGGGACCGGGAATGGTCGAGGGATCTGCGCGACTGATCCAATGACTTCCTCAGCTCCATTGATTTGCGCTTCTCCTCCTTGTGTCTGTTCTTCCGCATTTTCTTGGCGGCTTCCTCGGTGAGCTGTTGGCGGAAGAGGCGCTCGACGACGTCCTTCTTGCGGGTGCGGCGGTCGCCGATCATGATCAGGACGCCGCCGGTGATGTTGCAGGTGATGGAGCAGCAGAGGATGACGGTTGTGAGGGCGAAGGGGCGCACGTGGTAGTCGATGCCCCATGTGCAGGCGCCGAGGGCGATCTGGAAGAGGGAGTGGCAGTCGAGGAGGACGACGATGGCGATGAGGAGACGCAGCGGGAAGGCGTGGTGGGTGTATGTTTCGTGAGGCTTGTAGAAGGTATGGGATTTGGCGAATCTTTCTTGGTGGTGGATGAGTTTGAGCTGTTGGACGCGGTTGAGCACGGAGAACTCGTGCTCTTCATCCTTGGGGGTGTCGCCGAGTTCGACGTCGACGTCTACTTCGCGGCGCTCGGGGAGGTCGTTCTTGTCCTTGAGCGCGGGGAGGTCGCGCTTCTTGCGGATCTTCCAGGTTAAAAAGGTGTAGTGCGCAATGAAGATCATGTGGTAGGTGTCGATGGCTCGGAAGGGGGCCAGCCCGTCGCCCATGATTGCGAATAAAGCCACCAGGACGTTGTCGATGACATTGATGACGTAGAGTTGCCTTCCTCCCACATTGATCCAGCCTTTTAGTATATTAGTGTCGGGATTCAACAATGTCTGGGGAGGCCATACCAATAAGGAAAAGCACCCATGCAAGACCAAAAAGGGTGATGAGAGTTGCGTATAAAGTAACCAAAAACCCGAGCGCTGTCAACAAAAATGCTATCAGCCACGAATCACAAGAGGAGCCAAAACCGACTTACGTTTCGATACGTATTTGCCAAATCCAACCATGCTCCGCTTGAAGGCAGAACGTCGAGAATGTAACATATGCCTGACTCGATCGTTCAGCTCCTCCACCTCTTCCTTTGTCCATCCTTCCAAGGTCATTTCGTCAGGGAGAACAGCAAATTGGCGCTCGGGACCCTCGTCTAGCACAGAGGAGAGTCGGTTGAATAACGTCGGACGAGTTTGCTTCTTGTCCGTGTCCGTTGTTTCATCCCCTTCGGTCTCTGTACTTGACTCATCACGAGGGCTGGGGGGCGAGAGGGCATATGTTGGCATGCGGTTGATCCAACCACCTAGGTTCGGAACAAAGAGAGAGTTTTGCACGTTGGTGAGGGTAGATAAAGCCGACACTTCGGGGTCTACAGAGTGTAGGTAATACCCTGATCAGCGGCTCGTCGCATAATCTTCGCTTATAAGTACTCACCAATGACGTCCAGCACATCCACAATCTGAGGATGATATTCATAGACACTTGGATTTGGAGGCGGCGTGACAGGAAGATCGCCATTAACAGTTGACGCACGATTCCTCGAGAATCGATTGAGAGCTGCCTCGCTGGTCCGACGCAAGACATTCCGGCTTCCTCTCCTTGGAATTACCGGTGGAGGAGGCTCAAGTAGCCCTGTTGTAAAAGGCTGGGAAGAAGGAAGCTCGCCGATTGGGCTCTGAGGACTTGATGGCTCCTCCTTCAGAGAATACATGGGCATCACGTTCGTCTGATCGCCTGTCGCTAACCGCGGAGGAACGAAAGAGGTGGGTGCCGACCAACGACCAGGACGCGGCTCGGAGCTGCTACGCCGTCGACCCTGCCAGACAGCATCGCCATCATCTCCGTCACCACCATCGCGAGCTCCATCATTCTGTGTCCCGTCATTCTGAACGGCTCTGGTATCGTCGAACGCGATGATATGAGAATTTCTTCGAGGTTTTAATGCGTCCTCGGAGTTCACGCTCAAATTATTATTGTTATCCGCATTTCGCTGCGCCTGCAAACTGAGACTATTGATTGAGGGTGGACGTTGGATGCGGATACTCGGACGGCGCGAGCGGAGTGATGGGGCACGCGGTCGGGGATATGACGTTGTCCCTCCAGGTATCGCATTGTTGGAAGAAGGCGGGCACTGGTCCTCAGAGGGATCTGAAGAGCCATCCACAGGCTCTATGCGATCCATTGGGGATATATCGCTGGGGAGAGGAAGGAGTGAAGTCCTGTTCTCAAAGATGAGATGAAGACAGGGAAGAGTTTAAGAGAGGTTTGAAGAGGCAAAAAGGATGAACCAGAACCAACAGTAGTACCGTACTCACATGGGCGAGGCAAAGGTTACCTAAGAGCCAGAATCACTGGCAGCCATTCAGAAAATGTCCGAAAGAGGGACTCCTTGACTAATCAGAGGCTTTCACAGGGCTTATCAATCTGCCTGTAATAACTACCTTAATAAGAGTGTCTCCCGTCTCCACAGCCAGCGATCTCCGGTTGACGTCGAGGTGCAGATGTCTGTCACTCTGTGGCAGGCAACGGCCGATCCAAGGATGACTTCCACTCATACTTGCTCGTCCAAGGCTTGCTGCATTAATTATCATAAGCCACAGAGATAATTGCAATAATAGATCGTTGTTGATGTCAAGGACCTAGAACTTATTATTATGTGGTTGACTTTATGTGTGGATCTCGGGATCTGCACTAGAGAAAGAAAAGTTGATGCCTGAGGCCAGAATTTATCTGATAATCAGCAAGAGAAGACTGTGTTAAGTAGAAAAGCACAGAATTAGTGAATTATCCTAGCACAGTGAATGGAATGAACTTAAGCATGTCTTTAATCAAGGAAGAACAATGGTAGTAATAGAATTCACTACAGTAAATCTAACCTATATTCACTGACAGACTCCTACAGTTAAATATAAAAAGGCCTCATCCACACACCTACCCTGCTATTTTCTCTCCTTCTGTGCAAACCCACCTCTTAAGAACTCTTCTTTGCAAGTCTCCTTGATCGAATCAATCCTCGCAATAAAGTACGAACTACCGCGTGGATCTCAAACAGTGCCAGCATAAGTGAGTGTCAAGCTATGACTAGAGACTGAAGGAGTTACACAGCAACACCTCAGTCATCTGCATATTTGATTCCAAATAATTAGGGCTCAAAGACCAAGACACCTGTCAGAGATCTCGAACTTGAGAACATATCCTGACAATGACTGAGAAGAAGATGACTCGAACCCTCAAGTCTGTTACAGCCCCGAAAACCAAGAGACTCTGCAATGGTACCAATCAGCTGATTGATGCTGAGAAAGAACTGCTAACGTATCTCAATAGGGACAGTCAAAGAGCCTAAGGCGCAAGAAAAGAAAGAGCCAGATGTAGCCAGCAAAAGGACGAACAGCAATCCAACGCCTAATGTCCTAGTCAAGAAAGCAAAACTCTCAGAGGAAGAAAGAAGTTCCACCGTTACAGAGAGTAAGAAATCAAGCCCTAAGATAAGTGATAAGGCTGTTGGAAGCATCAACGCTGGCCAGATGGCAGAGTCGACCACTGCAGTCAAAGATCCAAGCAGTCACCAGGCAGGCTATATGCATATTAGTCAGTATGACGCTCAGCACTGCAGTGGGCCTGCCGCTCCTGTCGCTCCCTTTGGTGCTCGACCTGAAGCTCAGCACTACGTTCCGCCCGTGGGACAATTTGCCGGCAATCAACATGTCGCACCCTTTGTCAGGCATCCTGAAAGTCCATTTGGTATACATGCAGGCATCCAAACCGCCACCCACCCCGGTATCCGTCCTCACATCCATAATATGCAGTACAGTACCCAGCGGCCAAACCCCTACACGGAAGCATTCTTCAGAGACATGGCATGGACGGTCACGCAGAATTTCCCGTGGGAGTTGTTTGCTCAAGAACATGGCTGTACAGTTCCCGAGGTTTCTGTGGCATTTTGCGCGCTAGTCTTTGCCATCCTCGGAGACCCCGAATTCATCTGGAAGAAGGAAGAGCATCTCACCACAGCTCAATTCGGTAATATGATGATTCGTGAATGGTGGAAGCATTACTTGAGCGTGTTAAAACCAAGAGGACGCATGTACCAGATGATGCAGCCTCCCACCCGAACGACCATTTTCACTCCAAGCCAAGGGACGTGGCCACAGGCACAGATGGGCGAGACTCCGTCAAGGGTGGTAGATCAGCCCCTTCACCAAAATTCAGCGCTCGGAATTTCTGAACGCTTATTCCTGGAGGAGACATGGGAAGAGCTGCATGCAAAGATTAAGGAGGAGGTTGAGATGGTGGAGTGTCGATGGCTGGAGAACAGGAGCCGCCGTTAAAGCTCTGCATCTTGCAAGTCACAATGAGGTTCTTGCAGGCGACGGAGAGTCGATTACGACGGTAATCACAGAATGGATATCTATGGATGGCAGTCGACAGTGATCGAAAGCGTGGTGGATTTGGGTGGACTGTGGAGCCCAATCCAGATACGAACACGAGCTCACAATCTGGAAGTGTCAAGTCTGGGATCTGTAATAGTGGTTCATTCAACGGTTATGCAGAAGACAATACTTGCTATGATTTCAGGATGTTTTACTTCCGTCAACAATATCATATGATATCCGTACCACAGCTCACCGTAATAACAGTTAACCCGAATGGGGTGACTCTGTATTGCTTCAATGTCTGGTACACTAGGCCTAACTAGCCAGCGGAGAGTGGATAGCGGTGATGTCAACAATGTCCGGGCAGAACCTGTCTACTATTCCCTAATGGAAGCTAAGAGAGCCCCTTCGATCTCCCTAAGACCCAGGAAGGCTTAGGGGATCCGGAGCCTAAGCTTAGGGGCCAACCGCCGATGACTCAGGGCTCACCGCCCCCCGAGAGCAGCCCAAACGGGCCACTGTGAGACCCGCATCCTCAGGCATCAACCTACCACAAACGGACTAGCGTGCCACCGCCCTCTGCTGCTGCCCTTTTTCTCTCGCCTTCTCCTTTCTCCGTCTCGACTTCCCATTCTCCCTCCCAAGGCAAATCTTCAATTGTGATCAAACCCAGGATTTCCCCCTCAACTTTCCGTATCTAGGGCACCAAGCTACCCTTTTCCTCCCTCCACCCCCCCTCTTCAAGTTCTTCCGGTCCCAACCGATCAAGTCAAGTCAAACGTCAAGTCCAAAAAGAACAGGCAGGCCACTTCAAGCTCTCCCTGAGTCCGTGACACATCAACCACATCCGTGCATCTCGTCAAGTCCGATCAACAAACCTACACCTACTTTTGTGTCATCAGTCTTTCAAGATGTCTACTGCCGTCGAAAACCAAGCCGACAACCAGGCCCCTACCACCACCACCGAGGCCACCAACGGTACTGCTCCTGCTCCCGTTCAGCCCACCGATGCTGCGGCGGCCAGTGCCGATGAGGGACGTCGGCTGTATATTGGGAACCTCGCTTATGCGACCACTGAGGGGGAGCTCAAGGAGTTCTTCAAGAACTACAAGATGTGAGTTGCCGCCCCTTGTTAAGTCTCGTTTCTTCTGTTTTCACTTTGGATCCTCGAGTGTGCTGGTAGCTGCGGGAACGGACAGCAGACCTACTACTGTTAGGGTAGTTGCCGCCACGTGTGTCACAGCACTGTGCACACCACCCACCACTCATTAAATAAGCTACACTCAACCCGCGAAGGAATCTCGATTCTCTTCATTGCACACAATTACTGACTCATGATTTCTCTACAGCGAAAGCACCTCCATTCCCGTGAATCCCCGCACTAACCGCCCTGTTGGCTATGCGTTTGTGGATCTCGCCACTGCTCACGAGGCCACTGCTGCTATCGAGGAGCTCTCCGGAAAGGAGATCCTTCAGCGCAAGGTCTCTGTTCAGCTGGCCCGCAAGCCAGAGCCTGCTGAGGCTAAGGCGGAGGGTGCTGCAAGTGGCGGTGAGGGCGCCAGTGGCACCGAAGGCCGCAAGCGGGCAGGTGGTCGTGCCCGTGGTCGCGGTCGCGGCCGTGGCCGTGGAGGTCGCTTGGGTCGTGGAGGTCGCGTAAGTCTTCTTTACACTTTGTATAGGCGTCCAAACGTCTTGCTGACAATGTGACCCAAAGAACCAAGCACAGAACGGTCCCGCTACAACTGAGGCTCCTACCAACGTTCCCGGTCAGGTTGACCCTTTGACCGAGGTCACCAACGAGGCTGCTAATACCGCTGCTGCCGAGTCCGCTAAGCAGACTAGCAAGCCTCGTGCTCCTCGTCCTCAGAAGCAGCGTGGCCCCCCCGAGGATGGTATTCCTTCCAAGACCAAGGTCATGGTGGCTAACCTGCCCTATGATCTGACCGAGGACAAGGTATGTATCTTTCTAAATCAACCTGAGCTTGGTTGCTAATTCGCTTCTTCAGCTCAAGGAAATCTTTGCCGATTACCAGCCCGTTTCCGCCAAGATTGCCCTGCGCCCCATTCCTCGTTTCATGATCAAGAAGCTTCAGGCCCGCAACGAGCGTCGTAAGGGTCGTGGCTTCGGTTTCGTCACCCTCGGCTCCGAGGAGCTCCAGGAGAAGGCCGTCAAGGAGATGAACGGCAAGGAGATCGAGGGTCGCGAGATCGCCGTCAAGGTCGCCATCGACAGCCCCGGCAAGGAGGATGACGCCATTCCCGCGGCCGAGCAGACTGAGGCTGCCGCTCCTGCTGCCACGGAGCAGGAGAACACTCCCCCAGCTGCTGCTTAAATGTCAAGATCGTTCCAGTCCAGAACAAGTTGTCATTCCTCCGCTGATGACGGTCAGTCGGGGTCAATGATAGTGGAGAGGTGATGGCCAATGCGCATGGATAATTATATTCATAGGTACGCATCGTGAAGATGCTCTTTTCGAAAAAGTTTTCTTTTTCTCAATTAAAAAAGGCCTGGCGAAAAGCTGTGGATATCGTTTCCGTTCGACTTGGTCCAAGGGGACGCAGCGCAGAGTGATGATGATGTTTTTTCCTTTGTTCTATATGGGACAGCCAAACTGGCTTCTTACCCGGAGAGATGACCAACGGAGTAGGATCTCGTGATGACGGGAGACTCGACCTTTTCTAACGAATCTTGCCTTTATTCGCTGTATTGTATCTTAGCCACCATTTAGCTTATGAAATATGCCGCAAGGCTGGCCTTGATTGTCTATCTCATTCCTGTAGTCTACTTGAACGATTATTATTGTCAACATATCCATCATGAGTACTGTAAGAATGATTTTTGCTCGACGAGTTTGATTGTTTATACGCAGTCCATATCTTTCTTCTCCGTGCTCCGTCATATCTAGTGGTCCCATGGAAGACCTCTTGGCGCTCATTCTCGACCAGGAGCCTGAGATCAACCAGTCTTCATCCTTGGGCAGAGAGACACTAATTATTTGCTTCTGACGTATTTGGATGGATATATGTCTTGTCTACTTATTGTCTATCATTATCCAACCCATTGCTCTATTCTCTCGACTCTTGCATTTGTGGCCACCAAACATCTTTTGTGGAGGGGCGGAGTCCGCCAATAACCTGAATTAGGGGACCGACGACGGCTTGAACTCCAAACAGACCAGTGCATTTAGGGGGTTGGGAGAGCCATTGTCTTCTGATCTTCTCTCCTCCTTTTTATATCGCCGTCGTTTTTGTGTATCCACGCGACACACCATGTCTCGAATGTGGGAGGTTGATCCAGAGACGAAGGCCAAGGTGTGCATCTGCCTCCTCGTCTTGCGGCGATTGTGTCATATCGACAAACACACGTTAACCAGGCTGACTCTGATAATTCCTCTACTTAGCTTCTTCAAATATCCAAGACGAATGGAAACGACAAATGTTGCGACTGCGGTGCCCCATCGCCCCAATGGGTTCGTCCACTCTTTGACCTCACATCAACCCCCGCACCACTGCTTCAATATACATAGCTGGATACTTGGACAGTAGTCTGACCTACCTCCTGTCTAGGCCTCACCTAAATTCGGAACCTTCATCTGCCTCAACTGCGCCGGCACGCATCGCGGACTAGGCGTTCACATCTCCTTCGTCCGCTCCATCACCATGGACGCCTTCAAGACCTCCGAGATCCTACGCATGGAGAATGGAGGCAACGAGCCCTGGAAGACATTCTACGACAACCACCCGATCACCCAGTCCGAAGGCCGGACCTTCGAAGACTCAACCATCAAGGAACGGTACGAAGGCGAGGTCGGCGAAGAATGGAAGGAGAGACTCTCCGCCACCGTCGAGGGCCGCGAATACGTCCCCGGCCAACCGAAGCCCAAAAAGCCAGCCGCGGAGCCATCCACATCGCGATCGAGCACGCCATTGGCGAACACGAACACGGGAGGCCGCGGCGGCGGCTCCCCCGCCTCCCATGAGGGTCTCGATGCTGCCGGCGGGAGCAGGAAGGATCGCAACGAGGCATACTTTGCCAAGCTGGGGTCCGAGAATGCCACGCGCTCGGCGTCCCTGCCGCCCTCGCAGGGCGGGAAATTCACGGGCTTCGGCGGCGGCATGCCGCCCACGGCGGGATCCAAGAACTCTCCCACGCGCGGGTCCGTGCCGGGCCTAGACGAGTTCCAGAAGGATCCTGTCGGCGCGCTGACGAAGGGGTTCGGCTGGTTCACGACGGCTGTCGGGAAGAGCGCGAAGACGGTGAACGATATGTATATCCAGCCTACGGCGAAGACGGTACCCCTTCCCCTCTCCCTCTTTTTTTTCCCAACTTTCTCGCTAGCGGAGCAACTGTCCCGTGTGGGAAGCGTATAGGCGTCATCTAATATTGTGCTTTAGTTAGCCGAATCCGACTTCGCGGCCCAGGCGCGTCTCCAGGCTGCGCAGCTGGGCCAGAATATCCAGCTTGGCGCCCGTGGCGCCGCGGACCATCTGACTCGCTTCGTCGAGGGACCTGATGATGGCGCCGCGGCGGCTGCCCGGCGGCGCCAGGAGCCCGAGCGGAAGGATTTCTGGGATGATTTTGCGTCGTTGGGGGAGCAGGATAGCCACCGGCGGAGTACGTCGCGGTCGAGCGCGATCGGGACGACGGCTATCAGGCCTAGTGGCGGTGGGCCGAGTGGGGGGTCGTCTGCTGCTGGGTCTGGGGCTGCGACGGGGACGTCGTCTTCGGCTGGAAGAGGGGGTGATGAGGGGGGATGGGATGATAATTGGTAGGTTGGGTTGGTCTTGGGTCTGGTGAGTGTGTACTTGCTGCTGTCATTTCTTCTTTGATGGTTTAGAATACCGATTGTCATATCAATGAGCGCTTTATTTGATACATGTCAGCGGAGACGGCAAGGGTATTTCCATCTGCTATCGCTATCCACAAGTACATACTTCTTATCATGAGTAGAAGAGTACGCAGTATACATTTTATAGTACAGGAGGTGCGCTAGAACTATCAATAGAAGCCTCCGCTCAACTCCGCCAGCACAGCCTTCTGCCTCGGCGCACTCATAACCTCAAACCGATCCACAGTCATCACAAACGTGCCCCGACCCGCACTCAGACTGCGCAGATGCTTCAGGTATCCCACCATCTCCTTCAGTGGCACCTTGGCCGTGATGGTGCGGGGCCGGTTCACCGCGGCGGGGATCTCGGCGCCGATGGACGGCGTCTCGAAGGGATCAGGGGGCGCGTAGATCCGGCTCTGGTCGATGACGACGGGTTCTTCGGCGCCGGTGGGTGCGGGCGAGAGGTCGGTAGCTGTGATGGGGATGTCCTCGTCTAGGGAGACGATGTGGCCGCCGCGGGCGGCGGAGATGTCGTGGACGACGGCGCCGAGGCTGGCTTCGTCGACGCTGATGATGACGTTCATGACGGGTTCCATGAGCGAGGTTCCTGGTCTTGGCTGGGTGGGCGAGGGGAGGAGGCCGCGGAGTGCGGCGGATGTGGCGAGGCGGGCTGCGGCGGAGAGGGCGGAGGGGGTGGTATCGTTGCCGAAGATGTGTGTGGCCGGGTCGAGGGTCAGAGTGACGCGCGTGCTGTGCATGGGGAAGGTGAATTGGGGCCCGCGGGCCAGGGCAGCCAGGCAGCCGTTTTGCAGGGCCGTGCGGAGGGCGCGTACGTCCAGGCCTGGTGGGAGGAGGGGGCTCTCCTCGGTGCCCTTCTTGGTGCGTTCGATTTGGAGGTCGGGGGCGAGGATGATGATTTGGTTCCCATCGCGGGTCTCGACAGCGAGAGCGTCCGGTTCGGGGGCCGGTGACGTGTCTGGGTTGAATGGCTCGACGAGGGCCATGCAGCCGGCTTTGCCCTTGCGGCCGGCGATCTCCTTGTCGAAGATCTTGGTTACGGCGGGGGATGGGCCTAGGGGCGTTTCGCGGTAGCCGATCTCGATGCGGCCCATGCTTGCCTTGGCCTTGAGATCGTTGATTAGGCGGTCGCGCGCGATCTCCAGATGGAGCTCGCCCATTCCGCTCAGCAGGGTCTGTCCGGAGTCCTCGTCGACAGTTACATGGAGACTAGGGTCTTCACGCAGGAGGAGGGCGAGACACTCCTGCATCTTCTTCTCTTCGCTCAGACTATGTGGCTCCACGCTGGCGAAGAAGACGGGAGGCGGCACGTTGATGGGCCGCAGCTGCAGGGTATTGAGTGGCTCTGGCGGTGTCGCTTTGTTCCCCGCGTAGGACACGAGGGTGTCACCGGTCCGGGCGTGTTTGAGGCCTACCACGACGCCAATGTGTCCTTCGGGGATCGAATCCACCTCCACCGCGTCGTTGGCATACATCTTGAGTAAGCGCGGGGCGCGCTCAGAGACGTTGAGGTTGGTGTTGAACAGGATGCAGTTGCGATCCAGGGATCCAGAGTACACCCGCACGTAAACCAAAACCCCTCGTTTGGCGTCGTTGACTACCTTGAAGGCCAGGGCGCAGCCTTGCAGGTTCTTCATCACATTCTGGGACTCGGCATGCGCGACGGACTTCTTCTTCTGCTTGCCCTTGGAAGATGCGGTCCTTTCGTTCGATTCCACAAGGAGTTCGCCCGAGAGGAGGCGCTGCAAGCCTCCTTGGACTCCTCCAATGCTGACCTCCGGGTCGGGGGCCTCGAGCGGACTCGGAAGGAGGTTCACCACGGCATCCAGCAGGGGCTGGACTCCGACGTTGCGGAAGCTGGCGCCCGCAAAAATGGGGACGATGTTGCTTTCTGGCACCTCGAGCAGGCACCGGCGCAGGCTCTCGAGGATGTCTTGAGGAGGAACGGCAAGATGGTCCTCATCGCAATCCAGGAACTTCTCCACCATTGCCTCGTCGTGCTCGCTCAGCAGTTCCACAAGCGCTATCCGGGCACGTCTGAGCTCGTTTCCGAGCTGGGCTTCCTCGGCATCTAGCTGTGCAAGGCTCAGCATCTTGACCACCTTGCCGTCCCCTTCTTTCCATCGAAGACCTTGTAGGTTGATCGCGTCGGCCACACCGACAAAGCGACCATTACCGTTTTCAAACCACGGAATCTGACACACAGCCGGGAAGCCCCCGAGTCGAGAGCCTACCTCTCTGACCGTCCGCCCAAATGCAGCTCCATCTCTGTCTAGTTTGTTTACATAGACAATCCGGGGTATACGATACGTGCTCGCTTGGTGCCAGACTCGCTCTGTCTGCGCCTCGACACCAGCTACACCGTCGAGTATGCATACTGCGCCATCCAAGATGCGTAACGATCGCAGAACTTCAAATGTAAAGTCTGCATGTCCAGGCGTATCTATCAGATTAATCGTATGCGATGTCGCAGATCTGAGGATCTGCCCTTCTTGCTTACCGCCCTCCCCAGCTGTCGGCGGCCAGTGAAAGGTAATGGCCGCCGATTGAATAGTGATTCCTCGCGCACGCTCGGCAGGGAGAAAATCAGTGACTGTAGATCCCTCGTCCACGTCTCCTATCCTTCTGGTAAAGCCACTATAATAGAGCATACGCTCAGTGGTGGTCGTCTTGCCTGCATCAATGTGGGCTATGATACCAATGTTCCTTGTTCGGTCCAAAATTTTCTCTTGCCAACTTGACGTAGATGTCGAGAAGCCCTTCGATTGATAATGACTCTGGAGCAAACATATTTTATCAGAGATCGTGGTTCGTCCTGCTCTCAATCCCAGGCGTTTGGCAGCATCAACAGCTGATCTGGGGCCATTGGACCGCACCGTCTGTGGAAAGCTGCGCAGGAAAGGAGCTGCAACCATGACCAGATATCATTGACAAAATATAAGCATTCAGTTGGAAGCATTCATTTTGATTTCCCCGTAAGAGAAGGGAAAAAAGAAAAAGAATAGAGGAGATAAAAGCAAATTGCGAGAGGGAGAAGTTTAAAAGTGGATGATCTCCTCATCTCCAGAAGCAGACGAGTGAGTTGTATGCCTGGCCAATCAGGCGCCGATCCTCCCAGCGACGCAGGTAACCTCCGACCCCATCTTCAACGCTTCTCCCTCTAGGCAGAGCTCGTCTCCTCATTTCCTCCCATCGAGGCTGTTTTTCTTCTCTCTTAATCCTTCCAAATAGTTCAATCAGTTTTCTTGAAGGTCTACAGGTATTGTTATATCCACTCGCTTTCAACCCTCCCTGTCTGTCGTCTAACTAACAAGGTCGCGCCCGCAGCTCCGTGCAGACGTGGTTCCATCGGCGCCAGAAGACTATCCGCCCGAGGCATACATAATATACCATGGACTACTCAGCCATAACGCACGACCCGGATCATCCCTCAGGCTCTGATCCCTGGGCATCTCCTCGAGCGACTCAGACGTCCTACTCTGCATCCAACAACAACGATATTCCCTCCTCGCCGCTACCCCCGCACCATCAGCCCGGCTACAATGGCAACCAGGAGGGCGATGACTCCAGGCCAAGATCGTCCGAGAATGGAGCCCCCGGCTCTCCTGATCTCTCTGAACGATTGCAGAGTGCGCAATTAGGAGACCCGGACTATGCCGTCGAGCAACCACCGTATGCCACACAAGCCCAGTATGCGAACGAGCCTCGGTCTCAGCTCCCGGCGCGGTATCAAACCGGAGCCAGACAGCATGCCAGACCTGGGCCTGCGTACAAGATCCAAGCGAAGATTACGGGACTGGAAAGAACGGGGAAGAAGGATCCTATCCTACGATTTGATGTTCATGTAAGCGGTGTTCTGGTAGCAGACTGTTCGCCAGCAGTAAAACTGACGTCGGCCATCAGACGAATGTTCCCAAATTCAGAACGACACAGTACCGAGACGTTCGGCGCACCCATGCTGAGTTTTCAAAACTAGCAGACCATCTGATCTCCGCGAACCCGGAGGTTCTCGTCCCCGCAGTGCCGCCTCCATTGACCCCCGCCGGGGCAGGGACCGAAGAGGACGAGATCCGAGTCAAGGCATCGATGCAGCGGTGGCTGAACATTGTTATGAGCAATGAGGTTCTTATGCAGGATGACGAGGTGGTTCTGTTTGTCGAAAGCGACTTTGGCTACAGTCCCGTCGTTAGAATGAAGCAGCCCGCAACAGGCGTTCGGAGGAAGGTCCTGAAGCAGTTCGCCCCGCCGCCTGATGATACCCCTGAATTGCAGGATGCTCGGCCCATTGTGAAGATGTTCTACCTTGGAACTATGGATACCAGCCATAAGGTTGACCGCGTGGTCAAGGCTCGTCGAGGTAGGTGGCGTGATGTTTCTTTGGCTGAAAGAGAGTTCACTAATTGAAATTCCGTTCAGGACTCGGCCTCGCTGAATCGGATTTCGGCGTCAAATTAGGACAGATGCACGTGCAGGAAACGCACCCCGGCCTAGCCAACGCCTACAAGAAATTGGGAAAGATTATTCAGACGGTCGGAGACTTTCACGCAGTCCAGGCGACCGCAGAGGCGACTACACTGGAAGACCCCTTGAGCTATCATTCTTCCGATGCCTTTATTGTCAAGGAAACACTGACTAATCGTCACATCCTTCTGCGTGAACTCATCCAAGCTCAGCAAGCCACCCGCAGCAAGCGTGCAGCTGCGGACCGATTGAAGGTCAGCTCGTCGGTTCGGCCGGATAAGGTTGACGAAGCCATCAATGCCCTGGACGAGGCTCAGAGCCATGAGGACTATCTGACCAAGCGGACACAACGCGTCACTTCGAACCTTCTGCTGGAGAAGCGCGCCTGGTTTGAGCGTACCTCGAACGATATGTTAAACAGTCTGCGCGAGTATACTCTTCGCCAGATAGAATCGGAGCGGAGAACTTTGGCTACACTGGAAAGCATTCGTCCGGATATTCGGTCCATCGACTCGTCTGGCGGTCTTAGCCGCCTAGGTCGTGAGTCGCACCCGGCTGTCCGACGGCCAAACCTCGCTTCCAGCCAAGGTCCTAAGGGGGACGCATGGAGTGGGATTCCGCGCCGTAGTGACAGCCTCGGACGCAGCATGAGTGGTAGCTTTGTTGCGCCGACACCAGCCGAGGACGAGGAGACCAATGGACAAGGCACCGCCAAGGGACGACTGCGGTCTCCCAGCGGCGTTGGCTCGATCGTGGGGGAGGATGACGAGGACCGACTCGATGCCAAGAATGCCGCCAGTCGATTAGCCACCAGCACATTTTGAGCTATTTCTGTAGATTACGGACGTGATGTTGTTAAGATTCCCCTGTGACAACTAGTTTACTTCTGTGGTCCTTGTCTCGGCCAGAGCGCACCCTGTTTGAGTTCCAAAATGAATTATGCCCATTCGTTGATACTGTACTTGTTCTGTCTGTACAACACATGAGTATTTCCAGCCGTATCTCTCATGGTCAGCTCGACTTCGTCTGCAAGTTCTCCAAGCTCTCATCCATCGCCGGCGTAAACCGATCCCACCGCTCAGCGCCATCCTCGGGCAGATCAAACCACGCCGCCTTCTCCTGCACAAAGAGATGACAACTCGGCCTCGGGATCTTTGCTTGATGCGCGTTGTCGATGGTCCCCGCAGGCACGCTCTGATGCTCGGACTCGTAGTCATACTTCATGCTAACGCTCGATCCGCACTTTGGACAGAACCCGCGGGTCGCAAAGTCACTGGATCTCCGGAACGAGGGCGACTTGTTCTTGTCCCAAGTGAGGGAGCCTGGGGCAAAGGTCGCCCAGCTCTGATAGGGTGCGCCGGATTGTTTGCGGCAGGTGGTGCAGTGGCAATTTGTGACGTTTAAGGGGGGCTGGTTGGCTTTATAGGTGATGTGGTGGCAGGCGCAGCTTCCTGTGATTAGGTCGGAGGGCATTTTGTAAGAGGTCCTGGGTGTTGTCCTGTGTTGTTAGACTGGGGATTATTTAATAAGATGCATGGGTTGGATCATGCTGCTTATCAACTACCTAGACGTTTGCGGTCGACGTCATGAGGGGTTGTCCTCGTGTTGTACCTCTACCATCTTGTATCTTTCGCACAGCATATCATGGTCATGTCTGTCTAGGTACTATAGACAGGATAGGATCTACTGTAGTAGTAGCATCGAGCTCAAACCCAATGCTGTCCAAACAGGCATTCTGCACCGGAACAGCTTCTCCACTGATTTGACCATTATTAACCATTATTAATCCCTTCTCTGAAGTTCTGTCGCCCCTCCGCCCCCACTTCTGGACAGCTCTCGAAGCTCTGATTGAGTCTTGTGCGGCATTGAGGGTCCATATTAACTCCATCTCGCGGATCTCTTGATTTCAAAGCAACTGTAGCGTTGTAGCTTGTGTGTAACTTGGAAATGTCCATGAGCTGCTGCATTACACATCCTTGCAGAGCTACATAAGTGCGGTTTAGGTCCCACTCACGCGTTGCTTGCACCCTTGCTGTTTAAATTACTCCAGGCTGTTTGCATCAGAGAAAAATTCAATATGGCTCCAAAGGTTTTTCTGTATGTTCAACCGTCCTGACTATTTTGTTGATAATACTCACCTTTGACCTCGTTTTCCAGCACAGGTGTCACCGGGTACATTGGTGGAGATGCCTTCTATGCGGTCTCCCAAGCACATCCTGACTGGCAGATTTCTGTCCTAGTTCGCAACAAAGACAAAGCGGCTCAACTTGCCAGCAAATACCCCAATGTCCGGATCGTGCATGGAGACCTTGACTCCGCCGACGTCATCGAGGAGGAAGTCAAGAATGCAGATATCGTCTACCGTACGTGAACATACTCTGCTACAAGCGACCATAGACTCACGACGTACAGATTGCGCCGACTGCGACCATGTTGCTTCTGCCACTGCTATCACCAAAGGCGCCGCCCGCCACTCCCCCGAGAAGCCCCTCTGGCTAATTCATACATCTGGCACCGGTATTCTGACCGTCGAAGACTTCCGCGCCAACACCTGGGGCATTGAGCGCACCAAGGAGCACAACGACTGGGACGGAGTAGACGAGCTGATGAACCTGCCCGATGACTCCTTCCACCGGAACGTCGACAAGATCATCATCGAGGCTGGCCAGCGCGCTCCCGACAGTGTCAAGACCGCCATCGTCTGCCCGCCTACCATCTACGGCCCCGGCCGCGGTCCCGGCAACCAGAAGAGTGTCCAGGCATACTGGCTGGCTGCTGCCGTCCTGAAACGGAAGAAGGGCTTCCTCGTCGGCGAGGGCAAGAATACCTGGCACCAGGTGCATGTTCAGGATCTCAGCAATGTCTACCTGGCCCTGGGGGATGCCGCGGCGGCAGGAGGCGGCAAGGCCACCTGGAACGAGCAAGGGTACTACCTCGCCGAGAACGGGTCTTTTGTCTGGGGTGATGTTCAGCGTGCTGTGGCCAAGGTGGCTTACGAGAAGAAGCTGATTCCGTCTCCTGATGTTGAGCCGTTGTCAGACGAGCGGGTCACGGAGCTGCATCCGTTTGGGCTGTATGCTTGGGGGAGCAACTCGCGCGGTCATGCCATACGCGCGAGGAAGCTGTTCGGTTGGTCGCCTCAGCAGCCTAGTTTGATGGACCTCATCCCTCAGATTGTGGAGGTTGAGGCTAAAGATTTGGGATTGATCTGAAATGTTAGAAAGATATGTACGACGGACATATTTCATGAAAATGGCACTTTTTGTTCTGAATATGTGGTTGAAAGAGAAGTCATACAATAGCAAACTGTAGTCGTTTCTTTCCCATTCAATTATAGATGTCAATAGCAAAATGAGTCCGTAATGAAAGCAGATCTGAATAAGAAAGCCGTCGTAGTAGTAAGAGGGATTAAAGGGAACAATAGAAGAATAAAATAGCCTACAATGAATGGCGGCGGGAGAACCCAAAAAGCTTAGCGCCGAGCATGACATTAAGCGACCCAAACGCGCCAATCGCTCCGTAGCCGCGATCCTCCCTGCATGCTTGTTATTACGTTTTGCTGGAGCTCTCTGCGGTTCTTTGATCGATTTAGACAGCAACACTACAACCTACAACTCGTCTCCGCACTCATTAACCATCGCAGGTTGTCCTCTCCATCGTCTCTTTCTCCATCTCGTATATGCATTTCTGCTCTTAGTTGGTGGTTTGACTTCTGGCATGTACTGACAGTTTCACCTACAAAAGACCCGCTCCATGAATTGCGACCTGTCGGAAATTTCGCGGTTCCTATGAGGTGTTAGCTCGGACGAAGCTGTCATGGCTCCAGGTGCCGGAGGAAAGAGGAAGAGAGGCGACAGATCGTGGTCTGGCGACTCCGGCAACGACGGTCAACGGCCTTCACCCCACCGGCCAGGCAATCTCAACATGGCGCAACACAATCACGGCTCGCATCCAAATCACCCTCGCGACTTTCCCGAAACGCGCGGTCGCGTACGAAGACAGCCTAGCCGAGGCGGGAGAAACAATAATAATCCTAGCCGACGACCTAGCAATGAGATTCCCAACGTCCCCGCTGGACAGAAGGATACGGCCATGTCTCCGCCTGCCAGGGAGGTGCCTGAGGCGAGCCAGACAAACGGGGTTTCGCCGACGGTAGTAGCAGCTAGTGTGCAGCCCTCGCCGTCTCCTGCGCCGAGCTTACAACAAACGCACGCACAAGCGCAGGCGTCCCCGAAGCCTCAGCCACAGTCACTGCAGTCGCCTGCTCCTCCCGTCAAGCCTCCACCGGGTCCACCGCCGCCTTACGATTACGAATATGCCACAGATAGTGTAGTTGAAGATTGGACCTCAACAGGAAGACAGAAGGTCATTACGAATGGTGTGCAGGCGAGGGACATGGAGGATGCGTCAACATTGGCTTCGATCTACCAGGAACTGATCCGATCTGCATTCTACGGCCGGTTGTCACCCACGGAGGCCGGAACGGTGATCAAGGAGATCATTGGAGAAGAGGTTGCAGCTCAAGACATGGATATGGTTCACGACGGGCGATCCTCAACAGTTCTCGACACACGCTCTTTGTTCCTGGACACCCTGTCTATTCTTACTGATGCCGATCCAAGCAATCCTGCCTTGAGATCCTTGGTTTTCTCCACAGGAATCAATGCAGCCCTTCTGCGCCTCCAGCTCGAAACTCCCGTCCTTCAGACGCTGGGACTTGTTCGTGATACCTTCACTCGCATAGGCATTCGTAAACAAACCAATCTTCTGTACCGACAGTCCAACTACAATCTGCTGCGGGAGGAGTCGGAAGGGTACTCCAAGCTGTTGACCGAGCTTTTCACCACTAGCAACAACGAACCACCAACCAGCGAGGTCGTTGAAGATACTTTCGAGAGGGTCAAGGCTATGATAGGAGCCTTTGATATGGACGTTGGCCGAGTTTTAGATGTCACGCTCGATGTCTTCGCCGCAGTGCTTGTGAAGCAATATCGCTTCTTTGTTAAGCTTCTCCGAGCCAGCTCCTGGTGGCCCAAGGACGATATCTCCCGCACTCTTGGTGGTGCTGACCGCGATTCTGGCCTGCCAAATTGGGCATTACCAGGTTCCGCAGGGTGGGCGACAACAGACGAGGAGCGAGCTGAGATCATGCAAGCCAATGAGCAGCGAGATCGGGAGTTTTGGAACAGAGTCAGAGAGATTGGTATTCGAGCATTCTTCGAGATCGGACGGAAGCCGATCACTGAAGACGAGAGAAAGCGAATCTTTCCAGAAAGCACGAATCTGTCAGAAGAAGAGATGGAGACACGGAAATGGATCGAAGAGACAGGAACCCTACCCCCAAAAGGAAACAGGGTCGCAGCGCAGCTTCTCGGTTTCAAGCTCCGCTTCTACTCGTCAAAAGCGCGGGACAAGTCAGACATTCTCCCCGACAACCTCATCTATCTGGCAGCCCTTCTGATCAAAGTTGGTTTCATCTCGCTTCGCGACTTGTACCCTCATCTTTGGAGACCTGACGAATTGATGGACGACCTGAAGGAGGAGAAAATGAAGGAAAAAGCAGAAAGAGAAAGAGCTGCGCGGCCGGGTGGAGGTGTAAATGCTTTGATGATGGCTGGCGCTCTGTCGGACGATACGTTACCCATTCCACGCATTCGTGGATCAGAACAACGACCATCCACTCCTGCGAAGGACCAAGAAGCGGACAAAGCAACTCCGGCGAAGACGGACGAAGATGACCTGCCAGAGCCCTCAGATCAGAAGGTCATGCTGCTAAAGAGCCTGCTCGCCATCGGAGCCCTTCCTGAGGCTCTTTTTATCCTCAGCAAATTTCCTTGGCTTATGGACGCCTACCCCGAACTCCCCGAATACATTCACCGTATCTTGCATCACAGTTTGAGCAAAGTGTATGCCTCGTTGCGCCCCTTGCCGTCGGTCGAGGAGCTCAGGGAACAAAAGCAAATACCCAGCCAAGATCAGGGAGGCCTCGCAAAAGGACAGATTCGGCTGACTTCGGCGCCTCCAAGACGGGTCCTTCGCTGGGCTCAGCTCGACAAGGACGACACAAATGATGGGACCGACTATAGATTCTATTGGGACGATTGGGCCGATAATATTCCAGTCTGTCAATCCGTTGATGATGTTTTTGCCCTTTGTTCGTCGCTTCTCAATCTGTCTGGGCACAAAATTGGACATGACCCCAGTCTACTAGCTAAGCTGGCGAGGATTGGCAAATCCAGTCTCACTCAAGATGACTCACCTGGGAACAAAGCGCGCTGGCAGGATCTCTGCAAACGTCTCCTGGTGCCTGCGATCAGTTTGACCAAGGCCAATCCCGGTGTTGTGAATGAAGTTTTCGACCTCCTTGGATTCTTTCCCAGAGCAACAAGGTACAACATGTACGCGGAATGGTATTCTGGGCAGACATCTCGACTGCCGGATATCAAGTCGGCTTTTGATCAAGCAAGAGCCGAGACGAAGGACGTTCTCAAGAGGCTGAGCAAAACAAACATACGACCGATGGCTCGTGCATTAGCGAAGATCGCCTTTGCCAATCCTGGTATCGTGATCAACGTCGCCATCAGCCAGATCGAGTCCTACGAGAATCTTATTGAAGTTGTGGTGGAGTGTGCGCGCTACTTCACATATCTCGGATATGACATACTCACCTGGGCCCTAATCAACTCGCTTGGCCAGAAAGGACGAAGCCGAGTGCAAGAAGGCGGGCTGTTGACCAGTCGATGGCTAAACGCTTTGGCAACATTCGCAGGCAGGACTTATAAGCGCTACTCTGTCATGGATCCCACTCCTGTTCTTCAGTACGTCGTTGAACAGCTTCGGCAGAACAACTCCACGGATCTTATCGTTTTGGAGCAGATGATTAGCTCCATGGCTGGTATCATCACAGATACAAACTTCAACGACGCGCAAATTCAAGCTATGGCCGGTGGCGAGATCCTCCAGTCACAGACCATCCTACAACTGCTGGACAAACGGCACGAATCGAAAACAACTTCGAAACGATTGATGAAAGCTCTGACAGTATCCAAACTGGCCGGTCAATTGCTTGTTGCAATCGCTCAGGAACGCTGGACTTGTATCTACAAGGCAACGGAGGGAGATTCCGAACTCAAGTTACTAGGTAACGTCTTCGACGAGATTCATCGCATCCTAGCCCAGTATCTGGATCTCCTACGCAGCAACTTGTCGGTGGATGAGTTTGATTCTTTTGTTCCCGACTTGGCTTCTCTCATCAAGGAATTTGGTATCCAGCCTGAGATTGCATTCTGGATCCGCCGGCCCAGCGTTTCGCGAAAGGTCGCGGATGCTGAAAAGGCACTGCAAGAGGAGGAAGCAGCAGCGGCGGCGGCGGCGAAAGTCCAGGAAATCGAAGCAGCACCCATCAAAACCGAGGATGACAAGATGGAAACGACAGATGAGGGCGAAATGAACGGCACCGCAGATGAATCCGCCGACAACCCCATGGATGTTGACAAGGACCAAGCTGTAGCAGCCACCGAGGGAGACAGCCACCCTGCTTCAGGACAACCGACATCCTCTGGTCCAACCCTAAACCCAGTCATGCAGGATCTCGAGGATCAGGTCAAGTCCGCACTGACACCTGAGACTTGGGGTGTGGTCGGTCTGCATTTTTACGTCATTTTCTGGCAATTATCACTTTACGACGTACATATCCCCCAGAAGGCTTACGAAGATGAAATCGAACGTCAGAAGAAAAAGGTCGTGGCCATCAACAGCGATCGGTCGGACATTAGCATGGCTGGCACACAGCGAAAGGAAAGAGAAAAGAAGCAGATAACCCAACTTCAGGAGCGCATCTTGGAGGAAAACAAGGCCCATCTGAAGGCTTACGGTCAGACAAGGGCAAGGCTACAGAAGGAAAAGGACCGGTGGTTCGCCGGCATGCGTGGGAAGCATGATTCCCTTAACGTCAGCCTGCTGGAACAGTGCTTCCTGCCCCGTTTGCTGCTATCACCCATCGATGCGTTCTACTGCTTTAAGATGCTCAAGTTCCTGCACACGTCTGGCACACCTAACTTTCGTACCGTTGGGCTGTTAGATCAGTTGTTCCGCGAACAGAGACTTACCGCGTTGATCTTCCAATGCACCTCACGCGAAGCGGATAATCTTGGCCGGTTCTTGAACGAGGTCATTCGCGACCTTGGTCGCTGGCATGCCGACAAGGCCGTTTACGAGAAGGAAGCTTTTGGCACGAAGAAGGACCTGCCTGGCTTTGCCATCAATGTCGATCCCGAAGGCAAACCTACCACGTTCTTGGAGTACGAGGACTTCCGCCGACTGTTGTACAAGTGGCACAGGCTTCTGGCTTCCGCACTCAAGATTTGTTTGAATGGAGGCGAATACATGCATATTCGGAACGCGATCAGTGTCCTCAAGGCAGTCGTGCAGCATTTCCCTGCGGTCAACTGGATTGGTCGTGACATGCTCACTAGCGTCAACCACCTGAGTCAAAACGATGAGCGAGATGACGTGAAAATCCCTGCCGCATCGCTGATTGGCGACCTGAACCGCCGAGAGAAGAAATGGATGCTACCACAAGCCTTCATGATTGCAAGCCAACCAGCGGGCAAGGGACCTGCACCAGCGGCTGGAAAACCCGGGACTCCACGACCTCGTTCCACTACACCAGCTCCCCTAAATGCTGCAGCGCCCGAGTTCAAGCCCCCAGCATCCACGGAGTAAGTTGACATCCGGGCACCACTCTGACTTATCGAATTTTCTAACAAAGTCATGCGCAGACCTGAAGGCGGCCCCAGACATGAGGTGACTAAAAAGTTTGAGGTAGAGGATGGGGAGATCGAAGACGCTAAGATGATGGATGTATCAGCCAAGGTCACTGAGACAAGCGATCAAGCTGCCCAGAAATCAGCTGCAAAAGCTGAAGTTGCGTCACACCAAGGCGACGAGTCTGCAGTCACCCAGCCTCATGAGACGACTCGCAGTCAATCTACGAACGAGAAACCCGTTGCTTCCAGCACTGAGGTTCATACAGAGGTTGAGCTTCCCTCGCATCCACGAATATCTGATTCGCCAGCCACATCGCAGACGGCCACGAAGGCTTCAGAATCTGGACGCCTTCCTAATGTTCCCAGACGCCCAGAATCAGAGCGAGCTCCCTTCAGCAGTCCCAATATGCGTTCCCAATCGCAGATACCAAGTCGCCCGTTCCGTGGAGATGACGGTCGGCTGCCACCGCGCTCTGATCTCATGGATGCTCGACGAGACAGGCAGTCAGACTTCCCTCGCGGCGGCCGGTTCGGTGATCATGAACATAGCCGATCATTTGACCAGTCCGGGCCAGAAGGCAGAAGCTATGGTCGTCTCGAAAGAGAATTTCCTTCCAGGCCCCCTGCAGATGAACCATTCCGGGGCCCTCCCTATCGGGATGGCCGTCTCACACGTGAGGCGGATTGGCCTGACCGTTCTGGGCGCATGCGTGGACCTCCGGATTCCCGCGAAGCTCCTTCGTCACGGTCTGGTCCACCTGGCCCACAAACGCACCCTGATCGTGCAGACTTGATTCAAGATCACCCTGATCGTGGTGGAGACGGGTATCGGCGCGGGGAGCAGATGCGACAAGAGAAAGATGACCGAAGGGCTTTGCCACCAAGGGCTCTCTCACCCCCAAGGGCAGACCTCCCGAATCGTCCAGAAAGATTCCCACTTGATGACCGCCGTTTACCCTCTCATCCCCAAGCGCGTTCGCGATATGAGGATGCACCGACCGGACCCCGCAATGACCGGCTACCACGGGCCCCTATGGATGTTCCCGAACCCAGGGAGCCTGGCATCGACATGAGCCATGGCCGGTTACGTCAACCAGAGCCAACATCAGACATCCCGTCTGGTCCACGGGGAAGAAATGTATCCGGACGCGGTGGACGCACCGCCTCTGGTTTCTCGCATGCTGCACCGTCTGCTCCCGCCGGGGCCACGGATCGTCAACCCCCCACTGGACCAGGTCGCCAAGGAATGCGGAACTCAGCTGAACAGCCAAGTTCAACAGGCCCGTCATCGCCAACAATCGAGAAGCTCGACGCCAGTGGGATTCATCCAGACCGTCTCAAGGCTTTGCAACAGCAAGCAACTGAGGACACTTTTGGCGGCAGTCCACGCTCTCATCAATCTCCATCCCCCGCATCAACTGCTCCGCCATCCGGACCTCGTGGTGGCCTTGCGCCGCCCTTGGGTCCATCCTCAAACAATCGCGGGCTGCCTTCTGGACCTGGTTTGGGTGAACGTGGAAGGGGGGACAAGCGGTTCGCGGGGATCAACAACATGCTCCAGCAATCAGGCGGACCTGGAGACCGTGGAGGCCCTGGCCCACAAATTCGTGGTCGCGGCGCGAATAGACAGTCAGGTATGGGTGGTCCCTCGCCCCAAAGCACTCGACCAGGAACACCGGGGGCTTCGGAAGAGGGTAGCCGATCGGGTTTATCCAGTCAAGGCCGTCCTGATCTTATGGCTGGCCGGCCTTCGGCCTCCTTTACGGAAGACGGTGGTCCTTCCCAGGGTCGTCTCGGCGGCGGACGAAGTGAGCCAGTGGAAGAAACGGGATCGGAGTCAAGACGATCTGGCAAGTTCTCACACGACCGAGAACGTGACCGGGATCGGGAACGGGAACGGGACAGAGAGCGCGATCGTGATCGTGAGCGCGAACGCCGAGGCGGCGGGGACGAAGAGGGGGGACGTAGTAGCAGTCGCCGAGAGGAACAGCGAGAACGGGTTCGAGACTTTGAACGCGAACGTAGCCGTCGCGGTGATGCTCCGGGAACCGGCTCTCGAGAAGAACGATATGAGTCTCGCGAGGCGTCGCGACGCGGAGCCGGCTCGCGCGAAGAAAACCGTCGACGAGACCGCCGAGAGAGGGAAGAGAATCCCGAATTTGGACCGGGCAGCCATGAGCATGAAGGCCGTCTCCGACCCCCTTCTTCTTTGGGGGGACCACCACCTCCTCCGCCACCGCCGCCACCACCACCGCCCCTTCCGGGTAATGCGGAGGAAGATCGACGATGGGGTGCAGGCGGCGGCGGCAACGGCGGCAACGGCGGCCGTGAGCTACGGGACAGGGATCGAGACCGGAATCGCGACCGGGGACGGGATCGGGACTACAATCGCGACGGGGGAAGCGGGGGACCTCACCGAAAACGTGGCCGACCTGGAGGAGACGATGGACCTGGTGAAGGAGGAGGCGGTGGAGGAGGAGGAGGAGGCCGAGGAGGCATGCGAATGGGAGGGGAAAACAAACGGCCTCGACGAGGGCAATGAATGTGAAGAGAAACGGGCTAGCTTTTGTTGTATGCTCCATTCATTCGAACACTATATTTCCTTTCTTCCTATCTCATCTGGAGTTCTATATCATTGCATTTGTTGGACGGTGTTTGTTGCATTACCACCAAGCTTGCGTCGGATCTAAGGGATTCTTCTTTTCGTTTGTGGCCCTGAATATAGGAATTCAATTTCATAGGCTTGTATTATTGAAGACCTCGAAATCATCAGATTGGAATGATGACATTGTTGATTATCATTGCTCTTGTCTGTGTGAAGCAGTAAGGTGACAGTTGGGGTCACGAGGGCTGCTTTACCACCACTTCTTCCTGCTCTCCGTCTTCCAATCTATCTCTTTACCCCCCCACTTTCAAGCAACCATGTCTGCAAGGACCGTCAAACCATCATCGTTCCTATTATCCGAATGCCAATCCTAGCTCAAGAATCACAGGCAGATCGGACCGACACTCCGCGTCTTCCCCCGCTCTCTGAACCGCCAAGCGTCGGTTAAACCTCGGACGCTGCTCCGTTTCCTTTTCATCCAGCTCCCTGTCTAGCGTCATCGGTCCCTGAAGCCTTGACTCTTTGGGATTATCCAAGGACGCGCGGGGATACATATTGTGCGAGCACTAGATAGTGGGACTCCTTCCCCTGGGCCGTGCTTGTTATCATTCCCTGGCTAACTACAGAGTATCATGCTAGTGCGACAGTTTCGAATCCCAATGGATGGCCGTTCCTGTCAGTTTCATTTTCATACATGACTATCAGCTAGGAGTAATCAGTGGATGTTTCTCCACCGCTGGGAGAATTTCGGGCGTTCCAACCAGCGATCCACCCGCTGCGCTACATGGAGAAGCTCCATCTGTGATGCTGACATGCTTGAGTTGCAGAAATGCAAACAGTTGCTAATGATTCCGCACTCTGCTGCTATCTACAACGGTTGAACCACCGGGTCCTGAGATCGCGACGGAGAATTCGGGACGATAGAACGAATGAATGGACGTGGCTGGTTTCATCTCCAGTTGATGATTACTTGTTCTTTTTTTTTTATTCATGCTCAGAAAGACGATAGTCCGCGTGCAGTTGGAGATTTTGGAGTATGCTTAGACTAGAGATACAGCCGCAGTATATGTAGAGCTTGGTTTCCCCTCGATACGTCAACTTTTTTTTTGTCGTCGTTCTCCTCAAACGGTTCCTCCTTCCTCTGATCATTGTGTTGCTGGTTTATTTAACCGTCTTGCGAATCCTGAGAGTCGTGGTTCCTTTTTGATTTATCGTGTTTTTCCCCAACCGTTGATCGGAGGGATCCCTTTTCTCTTTTCTTGTATATACTTGATCACCCGTTCACCATGGTTCAGTTAGACGTGGAAAAGACCATTGAGGAGCTCACGCTCGGTGAGAAAGTAGCTCTCACAGCTGGTAAGTGATCGCGCGATTCACATGCGATTCCCTGCGAATTGGTAAACGATGAATTTGGTGGCATACATCGAAAATCACAGCTAACCAGAATAATGATTACAGGGATTGATTTCTGGCACACGGCCGCTGTCCCCCGTCTCAACATCCCCAGTCTTCGCATGTCCGATGGCCCCAATGGTGTGCGCGGCACACGCTTCTTCAACGGTGTCCCTGCCGCATGCTTTCCCTGTGCAACCGCGCTGGGCGCGACTTGGGATACCGAGCTCCTGCACGAGGTGGGCCGACTGATGGCAGAGGAGTCTATTGCCAAAGGCTCGCATATCGTGCTGGGACCTACAATCAACACTCAGCGATCCCCACTTGGAGGTCGAGGCTTCGAGTCATTCGCCGAGGACGGTGTCCTCTCGGGCATTCTGGCGGGACACTATTGCGAAGGTCTGCAGGAGAAGGGCGTTGCGGCCACTCTGAAGCATTTTGTCTGCAATGACCAGGAACATGAGCGCTTGGCTGTTGATAGCATTGTGACGATGCGCGCTATGCGTGAGATTTATCTCTTGCCCTTTCAGCTGGCATTGAGGATCTGCAAGACTGCCTGCGTTATGACAGCCTACAACAAGATCAATGGAACGCATGTCAGTGAGAACAAGCAGATCATCACCGATATTCTCCGCAAGGAGTGGGGGTGGGATGGTCTGGTCATGAGTGACTGGTATGTTCATACCTCTTCAATGCTGATTGACCCTAAGTGGCACCGAAAGATACTGACGACTTTCAGGTTTGGAACATACAGTACTTCCGATGCCATCAATGCTGGCTTGGATCTTGAAATGCCAGGCCCAACCCGCTGGCGTGGAACCGCTCTGGCGCATGCCGTTTCATCCAACAAGGCATTTGAGTTCGTGATGGACGAGCGGGTTCGCAACATTTTGAACCTGCACAACTTTGTCGAGCCATTGGGCATCCCAGAGAACGCTCCTGAAAAGGCCTTGAATCGGCCAGAGGACCAGGCTCTGCTCAGACGAGCGGCGGCAGAATCTGTGGTTCTCATGAAGAACCAGGACAACGTTCTGCCTCTGAAGAAAGAGAAGTCCATTCTGGTCATTGGGCCAAACGCTAAGACTGCCGCGTACTGCGGCGGCGGATCAGCGTCACTGGATGCATACTACACCGTGACACCGTTCGAAGGTGTCTCCGCCCAGAGCCAGGGCGAGGTCAAGTTCTCACAGGGTGTCTACTCATACAAGGAACTGCCCTTGCTCGGTCCTCTGCTGAAGACGGACGATGGCAAGAAGGGCTTCAAGTTCCGCGTGTACAACGAGCCCCCTTCGGAACCCAACCGCCAGATCGTCGATGAACTGCACCTTGTATCGTCCAGCGGCTTCCTGATGGACTACAAGCACCCCAAGATCAAGTCCTTCACCTTCTACGTTGACATGGAGGGCTACTTCACACCGGAAGAAGACGGTATCTACGACTTTGGGGTGACAGTGGTGGGCACCGGTAAACTGTTCATCGACGACGAGCTCGTCGTCGACAACTCTAAGAACCAGCGGCAGGGCACCGCTTTCTTTGGCAACGCCACCGTGGAAGAGCAAGGCTCCAAGGAACTCAAGGCCGGCCAGACCTACAAGGTTGTCCTGCAATTCGGCAGCGCCCCAACATCCGACCTCGACATGCGCGGCGTTGTCATCTTCGGCCCGGGAGGATTCCGCTTCGGTGCCGCCCGTCGCGTCGGCCAGGAGGAACTCATCTCCAAGGCGGCGGAGCTAGCCTCCCAGGCCGAGCAAGTCGTCATCTTCGCCGGTCTCACCAGCGAATGGGAGACGGAGGGCCACGACCGTGATCACATGGATCTGCCCCCCGGCAGCGACGAGATGATCAGCCGCGTGCTGGACGCGAACCCGAACGCGGTGGTGGTCATCCAGAGCGGCACCCCGGTCACCATGCCCTGGGCAAACACGGCCAAGGCTCTGCTACAGGCCTGGTTCGGCGGCAATGAATGCGGCAACGGCATTGCAGACGTCCTCTACGGTGACGTCAACCCCTCCGCCAAGCTCCCGCTGACCTTCCCCGTCCGCCTCCAGGATAACCCATCCTACCTGAACTTCCGCTCCGAGCGCGGCCGCGTCCTCTACGGTGAGGACGTGTATGTTGGATACCGCTACTATGAGAAGGTCGACCTGCCCCCTCTCTTCCCCTTCGGCCACGGACTCTCCTACACAACCTTCTCCCGCTCCGATCTATCCCTCACCACCAGCCCCGAGAAGCCCCAGCTGGAAGACGGCGAGCCCATCACTGCCACTGTCTCCGTGACCAACACCGGCAGCGTAGCCGGCGCCGAGATTGTTCAGCTGTGGGTGGCCCCGCCGCCGACGGGGGTGAACCGCCCCGTGCGGGAACTCAAGGGATTCGCCAAGGTGTTCCTAGAACCCGGTGAGACAAAGCAGGTCGAGATCGTGGTGGAGAAGAAGCTGGCGACGAGCTGGTGGGACGAGCAGCGTGAGAAGTGGGCTTCGGAGAAGGGGACGTACGAGGTGCTAGTGACGGGGACGGGCGACGAGGTGCTCAAGTCTTCTTTTGAGGTCGGGAAGACGCGGTACTGGCTGGGATTGTAGACAATTCGATCCTGATGGTTACGAATGATGGATGATGACTCGGTCGTTTTTGTTTTTCCCTACTCTTACTGTTACGTTGTTATGGTTTACTGGATTCAATGACGGGGAACGATGGACCTTGGATGGGACGAGATAAGTTGAAGATATTGATACCAATAGACATGGTACAGTTCATTCGGTGTTCCTTTTGCTTTAAGTACTTCGTAGTAGCCATACAAAACGCAAACGCTTCCCAGTCCACCACACCCAGCAGACTTTCATAAACAGCCGTAGTAGTCGATCGAGTCGAGCAGATAAAATATCTAAACCAGATCGCACATAACGAATAATTTGCACTCGGGAACAAAAATAATGTGTAGTATGGAATAACAAGCAACAAATCAACCATCAGAATTCCCCACGCTGTCAAGCCAGATGAAGGTAAAGCACGAGCAAAGATAAGACATATATGCCCGAAGTAGAGTACAACTAAGTAGCTTACACGATCCGAGTGAATCCCGTCGTGTCCTTGCTGCGAGGGGCACTGCCGGGCCTGTGCCTCCCCATGTCCAAGATGGACATCTTCCTCAGCAGGGAATTGCTCTTGCAGGGAGGCTGAGAGTCGGACTGAGACCGCGAGTGAGAGTGCGAATGAGGTTGGTGCTCTTTGGTTTGGCGTTTCAGGCTCGCCAGGCTCTCTTTCGAGATGAGCGATCTCAGAGACCAGAAGGATGGCCTTTTCTGTTTTGCGGAGCCTGGATGGGGAGACTTGTTGGACTTTGACGGGGGAGTAGTGGCGTCTTGTTCTGCGGGTGAAGCGAAGGTGCAGCCGATAATGCCGGTTTTCATCTTCTCCATGACGGCGAGCTGGAGGTCGACGTTGCGCTGTGCTTCTTCGGCGTCTGTCATGATGTGGACGACGCCGCTGCTGTCGACGATCACGGCGGGTTGGCCGTCGCGCTTGCGAATACAGCTGGCGCCGAATTCGACGGTTTTGGGTGGTAGTTGGTTGGTTGTTGGGTCTCTGTCGCTGATCTCGGGTGCTTGGGGGGTATCGCTCTGAGGGACGGCTTGGAAGTCCTCGAAGCGTGGTTTGCGGTTGAGCTGGGAGACTTTGGTGCACGGTCGGGAGAGGCTTGGTGTTCTCCCGAGGTCGAGTGTGGTCTTATCTGGGTTGAGGAATACTTCGACGTCGTCTGAGATGGTCTCTTCGTCGGTGGAGAGATTAGGGCTGGACTTGGTGGCCAGGAAGGCAGTAGTCTCTTGGGACTGTGCTGGTGGGCATTCCACGGAAATTTCTTCTGCGGTAGTGTGTTGATCTTGCACATTTGAATTAAGGCCGTTGATAGATGGCTCAATACTGGAAAGCCCGGTGCAGAAAGTCATGTCGCTGCAGGTTGTGGCAGGCGAACTAGCATTCGTTGATGAATCGTGATTGGAACAATGTAGGTCGTGGAATGGAGAGGTTGAAGAGGTTTCATTTGTCAGGCTGGAGGCCTGGTGAGCATCCAGCTCAATAGCAGAATCATACTTCCTGATGTCGTTGCTGGATTGGTCCTGGTCTGCTGGAGCTGAAGTCGCAGTGGATATTTCAAGTTTCTCTGGCGCCGGGGCAGCATCATGGCAGGCCAGTGTTTGTTTGATATCATTTGAAAATTCTCCTTGCTTAATGCTCTTCGCAAGCAAGACACAAGACCAGCGGATCTCTCGCTCCAGCTGTAGAGAGATCTTACGGCGCTCAATCAGCACAGATCGTCGCCTGAAGATAATGGGTGTATGTTTCAAGTCGTAATATCGTGAGCACTCGTCTCGCCGAGTGAAGCCAGAATTCTGCTAGCTTCGGGTCAACATCCATTGTAAGTCTCCCAATTTGGTGTAGCTGCACTTACTTGTGAACCAAAGAGAAAAGAAAGAGAAGGCTTCGTCCTGATGCTCTTTCTTCTCGGAAGGGCGGGCTCCATGTTGATAATCCACTCGAACCAGTCTGAGATGAAAGATTGTAGGCAGGTGTCGAAGAAAAGAGAGAATAAACGAAGAAACCCGATCAATAACAAGGAGACCAGCTCTAGTGATTCACGGGCCAACGTTAAGTATGCTTGTAAAAAGTGGTCTGTGAATGAGGACGGGGCCAGCTGTGGGAATGAGAGGAGAACGAATCACACGGCAGTTGGACGTCTAGGCCTGGGACAAATGACTTCCAGTCAACCGGCAACCGCTTTTCTAAGCCCTATGAACTATGCAGACGGCGAGGTCTTCTGGTATAAGCAGTGGCGTTTCCTGTCGAATCAGGACTAACGAGTGTCGCCACAATGGGGTTGTTATGGAGCAATAGATGGACTGGTATGCGGGGGTTGCTTGGTCGATGTCGATCTAATATTGGAGTGAACGAAAGAACGTGGAGCTCGGCAGCTTGCGTCGAGGCTGGATAGTGAATTAGCGAGAGACAGCCAGCTGAATATCATCAGCTGTGCTGGGAGTCAAGTGGTGTGTTGAAAGGTCGTCAGAGATGCAGTTGAGGAACAGAAGCAGCAAGAGGGAGGAAAACAAATGACTGCAAATGACGTTAAGGCAAAGTTCAGGCAGTCAGGCCAAAGCAGGCAGAAAGAGAGATAGATAGAAACCGCAAAGAAGGTTGCAGATGAACAGCAACACATAATCTGCGAGAATAGAAGCGAGACAAAGCAGGGTTTAAACTCGTCAATGTGTCTGCAGAAGTAGTAGTACTACAGAATAGCGAGCATAACCAGTAGAGGGAAAATGGACGGTTGGTGAGGGCCTCAAAGCGTCAATAAACACTGAACAAGCTGTGCAACTCGTTCGGTCTCGAACGTATCAATCAGTAGGGAGGAAAGGCAGCACTTTCAACTGATTTGCCGGGTTTAAGACGATGTTTTGTTATCTGAGACGAGATCAACGACTACTGAAGTCATATTCAACTACGGAGTACTCGCTATATTCTCTAGTCAGCTATACAGATTACTGTCTTCAAAGTGTATAGGTCTGTTTAGTTGCATCATCTTCTCTCTTCTCCTCTCTCCACAACGTACTTTTGCACTCACAATGCACAAGAGAATGCATTACTGATCATCTCCGAAGATGCATGGGCCCAATGTTGGAGTTGTGCAAGGGATCGACAGCGGAGCGATGAAAGGGATGAATCAAGGGGGGTTATGAGCAATCCACCCGGACAACGACATGCGTCAATGCCAATCTGCTAGAATGGTACCAAAGGTATTGCTGCTATCGATATGACTCCAAGACTCTACCTTGGAAGGGAGTCGTACTGGATACTTGCATGGTCATTTGTGGTTGTATAGTACTGGATTGAATAATTAGGGTTACTGGTTGCCTTCTAGGCCCTGCGGCATGAGATCATATTTCTCTGGGGAACAGGATGGGTCTGTGATCTATCAGATGCACACTTGAGCATTGTCCGAAGGGAGGAATTGCCCAAGGATAAGTGGAGGTGAAAACTACTCTGATTGACGACATCATGCATCGCCTTTTCCTACAGTTCAACGCCTATGGCATCTACACACGGTCTTGTCTGATGTAATGTAAACAACAACAATTGCAATCGCTACATACTGTAGATCGTATTATGCACGTCTATGCCTATGTTGAAATGATCCTGCGCACTGAAAGATCGCCCACCGCCCTCAGTTGGGTCTCTGCATGGGCAGAAGACCCGGTCTGTCAGGGTTTGTATGATGGAGAGCAGTTGGATGCTTCTTGACAGCCTAACCTGTTGAGTGGGTTACGAAGGAGACAGTTGGATGCTCTTCCCTCTGATGGCTTAAGAACTGAAATCACAAGAGTTGCACCGCTACTACCCCCAACCCGCCGGCATGCTCGGAAGCAAGCACTCGAATTTCCTCGGCGCGTCTTCTCTTCACCGAGAGGAGATCCGGGACACTTGCTCCCCCACGGAGCATCATGGCGGATAATGAAAGGCTGCAATAAATGCGCCAGTGTCGATTCGGTCCATATGCGTTTCCGATTACCAGGCAGTGATGTCCTCGACCTCCGCCTCTCCGAACGTGCTGCTCTTGATTAATTTGTTAACGCCGTCGACGGCTACTGCCCCGTCGGCAGGTGGCTTCGCCATGATGTCCGGCAGGACTTCTCGGAAGAACTCCAGGATGTAACGGTTGACCTGCTCGAATTGCAAAAGGAAGGCATCGTGACCTTCCGGGCTCTCAATTCGCCTGAGCCTCGAGTTGGGGATGCCAGCCGCGATTTCCTTCTGCTCTTCGAAAGTGAAGAGTCCATCGGTCTCGATTCCAAGAACCAGCGCTGGCTGCTCGATCTGCGACAGTGCTTCCTTGACGGGATCCTCCGATCCCGGACTGGCCCGGTATCGTGACACATCGTGTGTGTCGAGCTTGCGAGTGATAGCAATGTAGCAATTGGCGTCGAATCGTTTCACAAACTTCTCTCCCTGGTATCGAAGATAGGATTGTGCTGAAAAGTAGGTGGGAGGTCGCTTTCGCTCACTCTCACTGACGGGCGTGCTAAAGGTCTTTGTGCCGGAGAACTGAGGATCCATATACTGGACTTCAGAGGGCTGCTGCGGCCCAGGCGAGTTGCGCTCGCTGGATGCCCGGGTAGACATACCGGCCTTATGACCATCATTATGAATGGCCCAGTGTTCATTCGGTGGAGTCGGCAAACGCTCGGTGCCATTGATATTCTGTCTCTTCGACGGGTCGGGAACGTTTCTGCCAAAGCGAGACTCGAAAGAATTGCGGCTTCGGTAGGTCAGAAGAGCGGACATGCGCGCCGCTCCCAAACCGGTGGATGGAGGGTCATCGAATGAATAATAACCGTCCTCATATTTGGGGTCACTATAGATGCTTTGCCGCTGAGCTTCACCCCAGCTGATGCACCATGCCGAGTGCCGGGCAGAGGTGGCAATGGGAACAATCGCTCGGACGTAGTCTTTGCCGAAGTAGGCGTACTCAAGAGTCAGCATGCCGCCCATAGAACCGCCGACGACGGCTGCAATCTGTCGGACGCCC